TGAGGTTGTAAAAGTAGTTAGAGTGAAAAACTGATACTGGTGTATTTCGTGATAGATGCAATTTATTCTTCATGAATGCTCTGTAGGTCAAACCAAGAGTATCACATTGAGACAGTGAGAGTGCAGTTAATTGGGCACGATATTCTATCTGTGGTATAAAAATAGTGTTCAATATATACACCAGTTGTTTATCAGTCATTTTCTTTTTGGACATGATGGTAATTGCGCTTTTGATTTCTCCTTTGAGCATATTGATAGTAAAGGTCTTATTTCTTCCTAATGAAATCCAAACACCTAGGTACCGAGTGGAGTCATTAAGAGGTAATGGGTTGATATTAGTGAGACTACTATTAATATTGCATGTGAATGGTTGGTTATGTTTAGCATTATTAATTATTAGGACTAATTTCTCCCAGTTGACTTTAATGTGATTTAGTTTGTAAAAACTTTCAGCAATGGTAACAATATTAGTAAGGTCATCACGTGATCTTGCTATCCAAAGGGTATCATCCATATAGGCAAGAGCTGAAGCTTTGAGAGAAGAGGATTTTGTTTCATTTATAAGCACATTAGGTTTCCATGTGAGCGAGGCAGAATAACCAAATGTGGAATTTTGAATGCGACAGAGTAATGGATCGTAATAGATACACCATAATAAAGGTGAAATGATCTCTTCCTGATCAATACCAGAAATAACTTGGTAAGACTCAGTATTGCCAAATAGTGTAAAGATTTGATTATGACGATTCCCAAATATTTTAAGAACAAATCTAAGGAAATTAAATGGAATGTGCAGCCGTTCCAATGCTTTAATAAGCATAAATATGTTGACCCGGTCATAGGCTTTAGACATATCTTGTAATAAAATCTATAAGTCTTTTTAGTTATGTGACGCATTGTATTTAATATTGTCAATTATATGTAAAGGTTCAAAGGTAGATTTGAAAGGAAGGCCGGCATAGTTGAGACCTTTTAAAACATTATTTCTAATCAAAATATTGGAGAGTCGACGGTTTAAAAGTTTAATGAGTGCTTTTCTTGGGCATTCTAACAACGTTATAGGTCTGGTATTATTTAGGTCATATTCCCATGGTTTAGGCTTGGGAATCGGATAAACGAAAGCGTAATTCCATCTGTGTGGAATCGAAGATAATTCTAAGCAACCGCAAATAATATACCAAAGCGATTTTCTAGTTAAGGGGTCAAGATTTTTGAGCATTTTATTAGACACCTTGGATGGCCCAGGAGCTTTACTATTGGGGAGTTAGGCGATAATGTTATACCATTCATCAGCTGAAGGTGGAGCCATTAATTCATTGTATATGGAGCCATGAACATCGTCCAAAGGTTGATAGAACGGGAGCCACTCCTCGTCCATCTGCACATTCTCGTGAGAAGTGCCAGCTGCCATTTAAAAGTGTCTAGCTACTTCCTTTTTGACCTCATCTTCATTAGTCAATAGATCACGTGATGGTGAAGCATTATTAATACATCTATCAATGATAATGGTCTGTTTGGAGCGGTTCATAAGAGAATCTGTCATATGTGCAGGTGAAATATTATAATTTTCCAATCTTCTTTCAATGGCGAGTTGAATAGATTTTAATTTAAAATCATGTTCATGTAATTTCGATTTGACAAGAATGCAGCCTAGCAGCAGATCTATATCAGAGCAGATTGATTTTGCGACGATAGTAGTGGGATCAGGAGGAATTCTAACATAACCTATGCCAAAATCATTCATAATTGTGTAAAATTTTTCGACTAAAGTGGACCAATGCTGGGGAAGGCAAGATGTAACTTCCATTTTCTTTACTAATCTCTTTAGTTTATATAGCAGTTTGAGGTTTTTGTACAACTTAGACAGGAGGGGAGGTCTCTTTAATGTATGGTGTTCTTTTGATTGGTGTGATGGTATTGTAGAGTCTGCAGCTTTAATGATACAATCTTGGAAGAGGTCCTAAAATTGGTTTAACATATTCTGGTTAAGCACAGTCTTATTGTTTAGGCAACGTAAATAGCAACCATTGGCTAAAGTATCTGTCTTGTTAGCGAAAGTAGACCAATTATTCTCAGTCATTTTGTCGTAGTCATATACCTTTTTCAAAGGAATATTTCTTTTATTGTTTTTAACATCCAAGAAGTTTTCGATATAAAGGATGACTATAGCGTGATCAGTTAGAGTGGAAGCGAGCTGAACTGTTTCACAACCGATGAAGTTTGAGATAACATCAACTGAAGACTAAACGTAATCTATACGAGAAGAAGACATAGAACCATAATGCGTGAGGTAGTCAAATCTTTGTGTATCATACTTGACAGAAAAGGTGTCAAATAAGTTGAAGTTATTCAAACTAGCAAAAAATCTTTTATCTTGAGAATGCAGCTTAAGATTGTCAATGTCTGCATTGAGGTCCCCTAAAAGTACTATATGATAATTATTTGCAAACGCATTTCGAATGTATTGTAAGAGGTCCCCTTGTATCTGTTTTCTAATAGTGTGATTGCCAGGTGGCGGATAACAATTAATTACTCTTAATTTTTGTTTGTTGGCAAATTGCAGATCTACTAGAATGATACGATTATGCTTAGATTCATGGTGAAAAACGTGATTTGCTAGATGCAGACGGAGTAAGAGACCCACACCAAAACCAGTTTTTTGAGGTAGAGAATCTGAAATAGAACCAAAGAAACCAGTGAATTTGGACGAGAAAGTGTGGTTAAAAGTGTGTGTAGAAAAAGATGAAAATTTGTTTCTTGTAGCCCAATAATATCTAATTTGAGCGAAGAATACAATTCTATAACAAAAGTTTGTTTAGCAATGTTAGTGAACAATCTGACGTTATGAGTGGCAAATGAATTTGATGGGGGTAGATGAGGTAGTAGGGAAATCATTATATGCATCATGTGCAGGATCATCAGTAGTGACAGTATTCATATTAAAAATATTAAAATTGTGGAAGCTTCTTGAGATACTGATCAACATCGCTGTCGAAAGCATCTCCTAAAGGAAACATATTAGTGGCAAGTTCCTTGGGCAACAATTTATTCTGTACCAGAATGGATTGAAACGCAGCACAAGATTTAACTAAAGTGTTGACCGTCATTGTGAAGGATTTAAGGTGATTTTGATACATCTGATTAACGCTCTTCAAGCCCTCAATAGTTTTTCATTGTTGCACAATAATAGAGAATGATGTGTCGATCTTAGGTTCGATTTCATCACAAGTCATATTTTCCGCATCATCTCTTTACCGATTCTTAGCATATGCCTCTGAAGGAGTAATAACGTTAATGTTCATAGATTTTTCTATAGCAGCCACACGTTGTACAGTAAAATCAAGTGATTTTACTAAATAGCAGAGGTTGTCATTAAGTGCAGTGAATTGTTGTTGGACAAATTCTCTTGATTATTATCATGCATAGATCCACCTTTCATCATACCATTCGCCAAGTACATTGAGGGGGTAGGCACAACTGTTTGGTCAAATAGATGATCATTCAATGTATCAGGAATATCATGAGACCATGAACTGCTTTGTTGGTTGTATGCATCATTGGTCTCATACGTGTACTTTGGTGTTGGCTTTTTTTCATGCGAATTCTTTTGTCCTTTCATTTCATCATTAGAGGAGGATTTGGGTTCTTGGGAATTTTCGGTCATGTGCACAAAGGTAACGTTCAGATTAACTGCACCTTTTAAGGGTTTCGATGGCACTTTATAATTTGTGAATTGTGCCAGTTGGAAGCGTTGATATAATTTTTGGACATTGCGATTATCTGGGGTTCTTCGTTTTCTAGGACACTCGCTAGCTTTATGATGTGGGGACAAACAAATTGCACAGAGCTTTGCATTTGATTGGGTCCAAGTCACATATTTGTTGTCAATAGTAAGATTATTATTACTAATTGCTGCTTCTACATCATCGTCAGAACTGAAATAGAAATATGCATGCTGGAGTGGGAGATAATTGGATCTAGCCCTTGGTATAATCCAAGCAGTGGCATTTAACATATGCCCAATTTCTATAAGTTGCTTTCCTGTTGTAAACCTAGGAAGCCCAGCTAATTTGGCAGAAAATTTCGATTTGGCGAGTATGTCCTTTTTCGGTAAGTCACACATGTGATATCTAACCATGTCATTGAGGACAAAAAGTCTATGTCCTTTTTTTATATTATCGAAATTAGAGTCAGCGTTATATGTAATAGTCGCTTGCTGCCAAAGGTTTTTTGTGTCCATGGTTAGCCTGACGATCTTTCACAATTTGGAGAATACCGTTCGAATTCTGTGCTCAGTTGCATCTAAAGGAATTTCCGTAACTTTGATCAACTGAGCCAGAATAAATTGATGTTTGGAGATGATCTCCAGAGGCGAAAATGTGCAATTATCCATATTTGGTAATTTAACAGTACACGCGTGGTCTCGATGTTCTTTGTTTCAAAAGGAAATTTTAGCAATTCGAAGAGTGATGTCGTCCGGGTGTTTTGAAGCGATCGCACCAGTGAACGAATCATAATGATCAAAAATGAGGTCAATAACAAAGGAGATTTTTTGTTGCGACGATTTTCTAGGAAGGTCGTTCAAAGGAAAAAACGCGTGAAAGGTTGGTTTGGGCCTATCGAAGGCTTGCGGCGATTTGTAATTTTCATCAAGAAGATTTTCTGAAAGGTCGTATGCTTCGTCAACATTGAAAGCTTTAGAAGTAATATCCTCCTCTTTATTTTTGCCTTTATCCAAAGATGTTGAGTCAACATCCATAGTTTCTGGAGGTACGACTGTTGTTGAGCTACTTTGTGTTGGAATATTATCCTCTGTTTGCGTTGGGTTTATTTTTTTAGTAGAACTTTTTGAGGTATTGTTATTTGAATGTGTAGACGCTGAGCGACTTTGTTGTTTGGAGTTCTTTCTCTTAGTTGCCATTGTGTAAATGGAGAAAGAGTTTTTTTTTCCTTTTTTTTTTTTTTTTCAGTGTGCAGATGAGACGTTATGACGAGAGTCGCAAGTAATCAGAATGTCGGCCTCACCCCTAGATCTCCGCTGGTCATTGCCATTGGTAACCTACACCGTTGTAACTGGCCCAGATATTGCCGTCGCCCATGTAGACTGTTGCTGGCTTAAGCCTATTAGGAAGATTTGACCCTCCCTGCCGGTTACCAGCTATCCGGAACCACATATCACTATAGGAATTTTTCTGAGGGATCCATTACACCATATATCTTGCTAGGATATACTCTTACCCGACTAATGCCGCAGGGTTCATGGGATTATTACCACAAGATTTGCCCAGACGGTGAACTAGCAAGGTGATGATCAGGCCATATCGACAAACATCTTAGGAATCGAACCTAACCTCAGACCCAATGATATGCTCGATTAGAC